GTCCCTCCTAAAGTCCTTAGAGGAACGGCTGTTCCGACGGCCAGTAGCAGGGAACCCCGGCAAACTGCCAAAAAGACTTCGAACGCTTCAGCGCAAGGGGTTCATTGCATCTGGAATGGTGCCAACTGAGGTACAAGTTCTTCCAGAACTTCGATGAGCTGACGCTGGGCCATTCAGGTGTACCTTTTCTTCGTTTCTTGGGGCCATGGCTCTGACCAAGAGCCAGGGGACGCAGGAGGCTGGTTTTTTCTTTGTCTGAACATATAGCCCAGGATGAATGCCTTGGAAAACCGCTTCCAGTACTTGTCCTCCTCGCACCAGCCGCCCGGTTTGACATAGCGGACTCTCCTGATTGTCATTGCTCTGGGGGATATGTAGGCTTTTTTCGTTTGACAGTCAACATGTCCTCGTGTGTGTTTGCAGGCAGTGCTGTTTTGTGGAAGTCTGCCTGGTATGGAGGATCCAGCGTCTAATTGAATAGCGCTTCAATAAGACATCTTCCAGAGGACCGTATGCCCTATGCTGTGACGGCGCATTGCAGTACGAGCCTCATCCCTAACCAAGAGGCCCTCCATATATAGAGGCCAGCCTCAAACCCTGATATTGACCTGTAGCTCAAGAAGTCAAGCTTCTCCTAAACCCTAAACCTCACTAGATTACCCTATAAAACCCAAGATAATCCTACATGAACCCTATAGAACTCCTATATCACCGCTAGTCCCCAGACCTGAGACCCCCCCCCCTCTCATCGTCGTGAGCTTAGGTATGTCACCTTGAAACACGGCGAGGACAAGGTGGGAATTCCTAATCCATAGGGTTTAGGGTTTAGGGTTCATACATCTGAACTATAGTCTAAACTCCTGCAAGGGGGGTTTATAGGGAATCATGTAGGGTTTAGGGCTTAAGGTTTAGAGTCTAAACTCCTGAAAGGGGGCTTACATATTACATATGGGATTATACAAGCGAGTATTATAAGGGTTCTGAAGGGGGTGGTGTTCGTGGCGTCAGTGCTGTCACCCAAAGGGACTACTACATTCTAGGGGTACAACATTGGGGGTATAATGTTGGGGTTATATCGGGATAATGTAGATTAAAACGGAAACTACTATATTATAGTAGTGGTATCGACGCCTCTGATGAGCGGTAGGAGCACGCCTCTTTATGCACCAGTGCTGAGGATTCACGTTCTAGCCCTCACAGAGGTTCAAGCGGACAACGAAGGCTCTGTCTGTGAGACACGGGCCAAAGGTGCACTACATAGGCAACACCTGATTAAGACACTGGCAGAAGGCCGATCTTCGATCCGCAGTTCATTGCGACGTCGGCTTGAGATCAGTGTAGGTACATGCAGTATCATTGGAAACCCAAAGGTTTCATTCATGATTTTCCCACAGATAACACGAAGATCCTTGCGAGGAGCCAACAACGGATCGCTAGATGTTCTATGGTGGAATCGGCTTTACGACCAAAATATCATCGTTTAATTCATGGAATACACTGTGTGCACTTAAGCTAATTGGTATCTTGCCGTAATAAGCTCTCGTCCTTGGGAAGTCTTCACAGCGGGGTGGTCTAGCTCTTTTCAGGCGTTGGTGCTTGATGCTGAGCCGTGGCTTATTTGTCGACCGCTCGCACTACACCCCGGGGACCTGCAGACCTTGACACTCCAAACCCAAGGATTACGACAAACCTTGCACCCCAAGCCTAGAACCCAAAGGGTCCATGTAGGTATATAGTAGGGCCCAAAGGGGTTTCCATATACCTACTTTAAGGCCCAAGTATATACCATATAGCTACATGGACCCTTTGGGGAAGGCTTACCATGGACCTCGAAATCTCGCATCCGCACCTTACAGCGATGACTGCTCAGGTGATCGTCTTCGAGCGCGGTGACTTGCTTTTCATCTTCAACTTCCATCCCTGCAACAGCGCCTTGGGGAGAATCCATTTACGATGTCAATTACTGGGAAGCGTTTGAATATCATCACTTATGGGTAGGCGAGTTCGTGAAGCCACGACTGCTGTGCTGACAAAGAGAGCATGAGCCTGCAGCCTGTGGAGGCAGGCTAGGCCGACAAGTGATATACAGATATTCTTCAGACATAGCATGGAGCTATCTAAGGTTGGAGTGTCTTGGACCGTTTCCAATCTCTACGTTATGCCAGCCCTATCGACTCCTCGTAGATTCTATATTACCCCAATGAGGCAAGGAAGCAGGGGTAGCCCTGTAGCCCTATATGACAAGGTTATGAAGGATATCAGCTGGGCTGCTGCTGGAACGAGCCCATGCGCTGTGTGCTGGACACCGATGAGGCCTCAGTTTTGTTTTTCCACTTTGCTTTCAGTGCAGCATTTCGTTGTTCCTTTTTGTTGGGCTTTCGCTATGGTTGTATCCTGTTACGTAGTTTTGTTGATGCTAAGCTTGAGATACCTGATAAGAAAGGAGACGTGGAACAAGAAGACACAAGCATGAGACGACGAGAAGCAATAACAGCAGCGGCAGCAGCGTAACGGGGATAGTCGCCACCATCAAGACGTACACATCATTACATGGTACTGGTAGTCAAACTCGTAGTGCCAACACTGACCGATCCCTTAAAGGCATAAGGTAAGCACACCTCGTAAAAATCCACTTGCAGGCATCAGACACCCTAGAGGGAAACGGAAGGGCAGATAACAGCTCCTGACGGCGCGGCACCATCATTCGGAGCTCGTTTGGACCTTTGCCTATGCAGCAGGGGGGTTCTTGTTTGTAAGTGTTGAAGGTCCGGCGGTTCCTGAAATGATGAGATTTGCTGCGCTTGACGAGAAGCGCCCGCGGGTATCAGACCCCAAATTCTGGAGGGGTGGCTCGGGGTGCTCAGTTCTGCCTCTGACAGTGAGACTCCTCCTGGGAGGATAGCAGCGCAGTCCGAAAATTCCCAACTGCTTGCCTGGAGCTTTGACGCGAAATCATGGTCTTACAGGAAGATGCCAGCAATACTAGTTTTAGCACTGAAGACCCCAATTTCATTACACACCTGGTTTTCAAGAGACAGCATACATGGACTCCTCACTCCCCTAGCTCTGTCTGCCAGCTGCTGGTGTCTCTTGTCCTTGAGTCCAAAATCCGTGAACTGTAGGCGCACAAGTTTCAGAGCATCAGAAAATCAACAGGTGCATGTGTGTCGAGTCGAGGTCGCTGATAGCTGCTCCCATTTTCTTTTCCATTATCCCGATACAACCCCAATATCTACCCGTATATAACGGATCTGACAGATCACGGTGAGTAGTTAGCCTCCTTGCTGCGCCAGGGCCGGTTCGGAGGCCACCAGCGTCTCGAGTACGGCCATGGAAATCCGTTCCCTGCTATGTGGGCAGCCTCAGAAGAGCAGAAATTAACATCTAAATGCATGGGCGCAGAAAAGCACAGCGGTTGGATCTACTGATCCGCGTTGCTATTTTGGCTTGCTTCACATGCACCCATTGACTCTTGCAGCGCGCGTCTGCAGATACGACCATATCCACTGGTAGGTAGTTACCTCGCTGTAACTTTTCTGCTCTGAAAGGGTTGAAGCACACGCTGACACCAGGACTTGTACAGGGCTTGGGTTCACGTCATGCCTTTAGCGCATGGTCACCGAGGCACGGCACGCATAATCGCAACCATTCCGCTGGCGCCCCAGGCGTCTCATGGATTCCCATCAATGGGCCACACCTACGCAAATGTCTAAGTCTTGGGGATTGCTACAACTCAGAGTTGTATACCCGCAGCAAGTATTGCATGGCAGTATGTGCCTTGTAAACACACAGGTTGGAATGAGGTAGTTGTTGGTAACTTATCATCTCCAACACTCTCGCGATGATAAATCGCCTTGATGCTGTTAGAGTGCTGCTAGCAATGAGAGCAACAGTCATAACCAATCATGAAGTAGTAACCCTGATAAAAGTTGTCAAAGTGATAATGAATAAAAAATAATAATGGAAGTAAAAACCCACCAAAAGTAACAAGAATATGACCAGTAACATTGGTAATTTGCTGAAGTGCTGAGGTCAAGATTTACCTCCCAGCAAGGACGGCGCAGGTCCTGGTTCGCGACAGCCTCGTACAAGGCGGGCAGCCTCCGCCGCGCAATGTAGTGTAGTATGTGTTAATTCTATCTGTCACCTTAATTACTATGAATATAATAGTAGGAGGACTACTATGGCTACAATATGATTGGTCTGGAACAGAGGGAAACGTACATCCCGCTGGAGACCCGGATCCAGAGGTCCGGAACAAGTCCCCGAATCCCGTTCCAGACCTGTTCTAGACTATCATAAAGAAGACCATGCTGTGCTAGCAAACCTCACTTACTTGTAGCATTGGTCATCGTACATACGTTTTGATCAACCTTGCAGTTCTTGTTCTTGGCCTTAGGTTTTACAAGGTCCTTAGGACAGCCCTGTGGAATTCAAAGAGGTGAATTCCAAGAGGTTTGCAGAAGATCCTCAGCATCGGCCTATGGATTATGACCAGGTTTCATCTGATCCCCAAGTGAACGGGCACAAAATCTGCTTTTTCAGACTCCGGGATTCGTTCCCACCCACCCCGTTCTGTACCCGTTCCAGACTAAAACATGCGTCTTGTGCAGCATGACTCCCTTGCCTTTGTTGCATACTTGCAAGGCCCCAGAGAGGATCGAAACAAATCACAATCGGAACAAGTGTGCGATCCAGATCCTCTGGATCAGACAGCATAGTGACGTTCGCATGGAGTAGGTTGTAATTATTGCTCTATCTTTATATACTGCTTTATTTCGTCGTGCTATTATCTTTCTGTTCCCGTCTCTGAATACAAGAATGCGGTATCAAGCCTTCTCGAACACCCAGTGAACCAGGACTTTGCAGTTCGGTAGACTTCATAGCTAGGCCGTCAACACTGGTGCCATGGTCAGTCTCAGATTCGAGATAACCGTGAGCATATTTACATTTTTCAATTCGTGCTGGATCTACCTGGACCTTCCAAAACCGAGCTTTTTGGAGTTATGTTCGATCGTAGTATATACCATATCCGTATGGGTCCCGACGCGTCCGTGTAAGGCTTAGGTTCTTCACTTGGAAAATGTTCGTGCATGCCCTAAGACGGTCTGTGGCCGGGGCGGCGGGTTCAACATGCCTGCTGCGCATGTGTGGATGGGAGGGGGGGTCAAGATAGCTAATGGTTCAAGACGTTGGTGGTAGTTTTGGATTGAAGCTAGCTTGATTTGAGGTCCGGGCTTTAGGCTAGGTATCTAACGGTGAGGATGGGAGGTATGGTCGGAAGGATATCCAAAAGCGTGATCGCCTACTTGATGACCGCTTCATCCAAGCAAGTTGATTTGGCTGCAGTAGAGATCTTGAAAGCTAATCATATCAGCCCCGGCTTCATTCATGTTGGGTGGAACCGACCCCCCTTTCGCAGCAGTGAGAATTCAATTAGTGTCGAAGATGGCGGGCAAGGACACAGGGCACATTTCAGGTATTGTTTTGGGCAAGTATGGCAAGCGCTGGTTGTGTTGTGGGCTACCTGCAAAACAAGATGGAAGCTTGGCAAAGCCAACTCTAAACCCCCAAACCCCAAGCTCTGTGAAGGCCGAAGCCTCGAAACCCTCAGCCTAAAACCTCTACACCGTAGGCCCCACACCCCCACCGAGCTTCCTGCAGTCTCAGGTGGTAGTTTCCCAAAATAGGGAACCTCCATTTGTAGACCCCCAAAATGCTATAGTCTGTATTCTCGGGATACCCAAAATGGCACCCCAATTATATAACCCCTACATGCCCTTTGAAAGCACCCCAACCTTGGGAAAACCCTGGACCCTGAAGCCTGTATCCTCCTATATGACCCCTACATTCCCTTTAAAGGTACCTGCCCCCTAATTGGGGGAAACCCTAAACCCTCAAGTCGTAAACCCTACACCCTAAACCCTAAACCCTAAACTCTCAAACCCTGAAACCCCAAACCCTAACCCACCCCTAATTGGGGGAAGCCCTCAGGTGGAGTCCGCATCTGGTTGGATGCAACTTTCCTGACGGCTAACGGCCTTGCAAGCACGGCCGGGAGCCTTAGAGTTTAGGGTTTAGGGGTTAGAGTTTTGGCCTTAGGGATGAGGATTTTGGGAATTGGGTTTAGGGATTAGAGTTTGAGGACTAGGGCTTGGGGTTTAGGGTTTAGGGTTTTGGGATTTGGGTTTAGGGTTTAGGGATGAGGGTTTTGGGATTTGGGTTTAGGGCTTAGGGATTAAGGTTTTGGGATTTGGGTTTAGGGCTTAGGGATTAGGATTTTGGGATCTGGGTTTAAGGATTAGAGTTTGAGGATTAGGGCTTGGGGTTTAGAGTTTAGGGTTTTGGGTTTAGGGATTAGGGTTTTGGGTTTTAGGATCAGGGCTTTGGTTTGAGGGATTAGGGCTTTTTGTTTACGGAATTAGGATTTAGGGTTTGGGGTTTTGGGTGTTGGGAGATGTGTCTTAGGTAGAGTAAGGATTCTACAGCTGGGCAAGTTATGACGAGTTTATATGAGCTCACCCTTGATTGTAGCTACTAGATACAAGTTCGCGCAGCATGGGCCCGGGTGAAGTACTATTCTTTGCCCACTTCTACATAATGCTTTGAAATTTCAACGGCTCATGTAAAGGATAAGATACGGATTCATTACCCTCCTCCAGCAAACATGAGTCCCAATAGTATGCAATATGTATCCACGGTTGTAGATTTCAGGCTAGCCTGGGGATTCTGTGAGGGTTGAGGCGTAGGCTCCAGCGGCTAGATGCGATGTTGTGAGAAACTAAAGACGCGCAATGCCTCATGCAAGCAACATTCTTTGCTGCAGCATGACTATGATGATCATGCTGAAGATTGTTACATAGCAGCCGCTGAACCCCAAGTCCTTCCCGAAATGGCTCCGAAATGGCTCTATCCATGCTATCACCATCATTCTTACAGCACTAAACCGTAAATGATATGGTAGTTTCCGTTGTCTTGTCCACCATTGCAATCTGGACTAGTACATGGTTGTTCCCATTTGATTTTCCATACGTGGATGAGGAGCACGTTTCGAAGCTGATGTTTATGTTCCGGCCATATCTGCCCCCGCCTAGGGGTGTCCTGAAAAGAGTTCGTAATTCAATTGTTTACCATGCCCAGACGCCCTAAAGGATCCAAAACATGGACCCCGCCGAAATATTATCCCATCACTACATTGGGGAGACTGTGGGATTATTAGGGGTTCTGTTTTTTTGGGGATCCTTCAGGGGATCTGGATAGACACCAGACAAACAGGCAGACTGAGTAGTCCAAGGCCCGAAGTCTGATGAATGTGGATTTATCTTGTTTAACTCTGGGTTGCTGTTAAGGAACCCAATTTAAGTTACTATATTGGGGCAACCATATTCCTAAATGAAAAATTTACCCATTATGGTAGCCTAATTCAAGTTCCTTAAAGGCCACCCAGTTAAAGGTTTACGGTTAAGGGTATCCCTTTCATAGTAGAAGTTGGCTGCTGCTTGGATCCTTTGTGCTGTTGTCTGGAGAGGATCGTCAGCTAAGCCCAAAAACCAGAGCCCCATTTGGGATATAGGGAATATAGGTACCCGTTAGGTAATATTAAGGTTTATATCGGGGTTACATGGGAATAATGGCAAATCAAACGGAAACTGTTATAGTATACTTATTTGCCCGCTTGCCGCTTGCTTGTGTCTTATCTGACCATGCTCCCAAACCCAGAAACCAGGGTTTGCTGCTTGAAGCCTTGAACCTGAAACCACTGAGCGACATGAAACATGCTGCCTCAGCCACTAGTCTTCGGGCGATCTCCACGGTAAAGCGAAGGGGTAACTCAAGCGTGAAGGCCCAAAAACTTCACCAAAAACACTGCAAAACGAAGGGGTTAACCCAAATACGAAGGGTCGAATCTGAAGCTAAGATTTCAACCTTTGGATTTTGCTGATAGCTCACATACGCTCCTCAGAATGCGGGCATGCGGCATGCTCGATTTGAAAATTCTTGAAACAGCCGTAGCTTTTTTTTAGAACAATTAAATCCAGAAAAGCAAATTCAAGATTCTCCCACTCAACGTGTTGCGGGCATTGCCAGGCCGGCATGCAGCTCTCCCTGCAGATCTTCAAAGATGGCAAGGAGGCCACGCCCAGCCAGTAGACTGGGAGTTTGCAATATGTACGGGCCCTTTTTGAGGGATAGGGATCGTGTTGGTTTGAGTCTAGTTTTGGGGACCTATCTCGAGGAGAACTCGCGCGGGGGGTTGGCCTGGAGGCCGTCTGAACTCATCCTGGAGTTGGGTATGGGTTACCAGGACACCAAACTCATACCAGCTAGGTTTGCATCGCTGTTCCTCATGTA